TTTCGGTAAACGCAAAAGATCATCTCCCCTCGGGGTTATCCGTTCTTGTTTTCGTTTGTGGATTCATTTATATTCCAAGCCCCTCGTCCATCCGAAATATGAACTCATACCATCCCAGCCCTGCCGGTGTCGATCCCTGGGCCACCCTTTTGCAACAAAAGTGACATGTGCGCACACCTCTTTATCAACAACTATCAGCGCTCAAAATCCCAGGCAGAAGACATGGGACGAAATGCGCGCGCGCCCGCAATCGCGCGCGCATGCCGCGGCACCCGTGAAACACACTAGGTGTTGTAAGGCTTTCAAAACCGAGTGTCCCGAAAACCTATAACAAAAACGCATTGGTTTGCAGCATCAGTTCTCAAAACAAATGCGCGCGCTCTTGCGGGTTGGGGGGGGGGGGGGGCGCGGCACCTGCAAACTAATACCATGAGTGCCACTCGCGCCCGTCGGCCAAGCGCGCAAATCGAACTTCGTCCGACACCTTCATCACCGACGCGTTGACACCATCATCGTCGTCGGCGTGATCAGCATCGCGCCGCCATTTGCCTTGCCGTCGTCATCGTCATCGTCGTCACCAGCATCCTGCCATAATCATCGTGGCGGCTGTTGTCGTCGCGGTTGTTGACGCCGCCATGATACCGAGCCCGCCCGCGCCACGGACTCGCACTGGAGTTCCGGCGCGTCAGCGCGGCCTGTGAGCTGCGCTGGGAAGTCCCCAGCGGTCAGCGCCACCGCGGCCGCGTCGGCCGAGCAAGACTGGCTGTCTCCTCTGCGCGCGAGCCTGCGCGCGCCAGCGCGGCACAGCGATGCGCCAGCCAGCGCCAGTCAGGAATCACGAGTGACGTCTCGTAGGTTTAGCAAACCAAGTTGCGGGTGGGTGGGACGGACGCTTGCGCGAGCAGCGGAGTTAACAACTCACGGTAACCCGAATAAAATTGCACCATATAGACAGCCTTGCGTAAAATGCATAACGTAGATCGCGCCACGTAAATTGCACACGTAGGTTGCTCCACATAGATTGCGCAACGCACACACACAATGATCGATGTATGTGTATGTATACATATGCGCGCTAGACCACGCCCGCGTTCCGGGCACGTTTACGTTATTGCCCGAATTGTGCCCCCTCCGGGAGCTTCACTTGTGGCCCCAGGGACAGGCTTGGCTGACCGTCTCCCCACCCATCTCGGCACACCCCTCACAGGGATCGCGCCCCACAGGGAACTCCACCTACGTCCCCAAAGACAAGGCGCGTAGAATGGCACGCCCCTCAGGCGGATCGTGCCCCGCAAGTAACTGCATGTGTGGCACCTGGGGGATTTCATAGTGTCGTCCGAGTCACTTCGGCATTCCTCTCACAGGCTCTCACACGGATCGTGGCCCGCGACAAAGTTTCACTCACGGACGGCCCCAAGGACAAGGTTCGCATCCCGCCCCCCGCTTGCTTCGGCACCCCTGTCACACGGATCGTGGCACACAGGGATCTCCACCTACGGCCCCAGAGGCAAGGTTCGCACTGCGCCAGCCCCCCCCCCTGGCCAGTGCGGCAAACCACATCACGCGGACCGCGCCCACAAAGAGCACCACCTAACGGTACAACGACAAGATTCGTACAACATTCCCCCGCCCATGTAGGCACATCCGTCACGCGAATCATGCCCCCAAAGGATCTCCACCTATGGCACCAATGGGCAGCTTCGCGTGGCGTCCCCCCGCCCATGCCTGAACATGCATCACACGGGTCGTGCCTGGAGAAGGTCCACCTGCGGCCTCACTGGGCGCGTTTGCGCGGGGGCAGCCGAATTATTCGGCACACCCTTCACGCGGATCTTGCCCCACGAAGCTTCGAAGAGTTCTGCGCACCCGTGCACGCGTGTTGGGCAACAACCATCTTTCCGCTTCGCCCCGCGGCGCGCAATGTATCAAGGGAGCCCGCGCCCTGCGCTACACATGACCGCATAAAGATGGATCCGTCGCAAAACAAGATTTTGTTTATGGGACGAAGCAATTTGGGCCTCCTGGGGCCCTCTCGGAACGGATCTTGGGCCCCTTTTTGAAACGTTTTCGGGGCCCCTTAAGCTGTCTTATTCGGGCGTCTTCGGCCGAGACAAACCACTCTGGTCGCTTTTTGGCGGCAGGTGGGGGGCCCGGGAGGCTCCGGAAGGGGACAACAATGTCGTGGGCCAAAAGCAAGGGAAAATCCGGGAGGGTGTCTGGGCCCGGTTTTGCTCTTCCTCCGCCTCCTCGTCCTCCTCGTCCTCCTCGTCTTCCTCCTCCTCCTCCTCCTTTTCCTCCCCATCCTCCTCCTGCTCCTCGCCCTCGTCATCATCTTCGTCCATCCTCCTCCTCCTCCTCCTCCTCCTCCTCCTCCTCCTCCTCCTCCTCCTCCTCCTCCTCCCCCATTTCCTCCTCCTCCCCTTCCTCGTGCTTCCTTCCTTCCACGTATGACCTGTGGAGACCTGCGGGCGCCTCTCGGGGGCCTGGCAGGGGAGAGCGACAGTTGCAACCATCACCCTCGACACCGAATCTACCCTGAGCGGGGCCGCGAGCCCGACCCCAGTTCCGCTGTGAACGGGTCCCCGAGCAATGCTACGCTGAATTGGAGTCGCTGGTGGGTTCGCGCGGACCCTCCTCCTTCTCTTCGGTCTCCTCATCGGACTGGCGGCGACAATCATGTTCCCGGCAGGCCCTCTGGGAACATGATGGTGTGGGCCGTGTTGGACTCCTCGTGGAGGCTCCCAGGGTACCCCACATGAGGCTGCAAAGCCCGAGGGACAGCCACATGGAACCATTTGAAAATCTTGAGATGGTGGTGGAGCTTGGAAGTGAGATGGGGAAGGTGTAAGGTAACCAAACAACATATTGCACGAGCTGTCTGGGGTCGTCTGTAGGACCTCTGAGGCCGTCTTGGGCGCTCCTGGGGCCGTCATGGAGCCATGTTGAGCCGTCCCGGGGCCCTCCTGAAGGCCTCTGGGCCCGCTGGGCCGGTCCTGAGGCGGTGTTGGAGGCCTCCTGGGCCGTCGTGGATTGTCGGAAACTCGGAAGCGGTGGATCCCAAACACATAGTATAATAACCGATGGAAGCCACAGATTTTGGACTCTCGAGGCGCTCGTCTGGCGCCTCGGGCGCCTACTGAAGCCTGCCCCGGGCCGTCCTGGTGCCTTCTTGGGGCCTCCTGGGGCCAAGAACTTGAAATTTCGTTTCATGCTCCCCCTCTTAAGGCCATTTTGAAGCCGTCTTTAGGGCTTCTTGGGACGTATTGGGCGCCCCTGTGGACGTCATGGAGCCATGTTGGGCCGTCCCAGGGACCTTCTGGGGGACTCGTGGCCCGTCCTGAAGCGGTGTTCTGGGCCCCTTGGGCCGTCTTGGATAATCGGAAACTCGGGAAAGCAAAGAACACCAAAAACCATTTCAAAACCTAGGGATAGCAAACATGCTGTCCCTTCGGGGCAGTCGTCAGCGGCCTCGGGCGCCGAGCCCGGGGCCGTCCTGGAACCTTCTTGAAACCTTCTGGGGACCTTGGCGAAAGACGCGGAATTTCAGTTCATGCTCCCCCTCTGGAGGCCATTTTGGTGCCGCCTGTAAAGCCTCTTGGGCCGTCTTGGGCGCCCGTGTGGCCGTCTTGGAGCACTGTTGGGCCGTCCCGTGGCTTTCCTGGGGGTCTCTGTGGGCCGTCTTCAGGCGGTCTCAGGGGTTTCCTGGGCTGGAGCGCAGGAGCGAAGAAGTAGCGAGATCGCTCTAACAACACGTCCCAAGGAAAGCAATGATCTAAGCCTTTCGGGGATCTTATGTGCAGCCTCTTGGAGGCCTCTTGGGCCTTCCTGGCCGCTTTCCTGGCTGGCTGGGAGCCATCTGGGACGTCTTAGAACGATCGTCTGGCGATTCGGAGCTTTCTTAGGTCGCCTTGGGAGCCGCGTGGTGCCCCGGAGGCCCATCATGGCGCTCTCGGGGGGCGCTCCCAGAGCCCAGGATCTCCCCATGGGGGGTCGGGAGGCCCGAGATTGGGCCCTCGGAACACCCAGCCTGAAATACACACTTATACGTGTATGTATGAGTGTGTGCGTATGTACACACAGAACATAGGCAGTAAGGCATTAATTTCTCTAGAAATGAAGTTCCGTGTGTATATATATATATATGTATGTACACATGTATGTACATATGCGTATACGACACATCTATGCTTGTACCTAGAAGGTTGTCCCCATGCGCTGTTCAATATGGACTGCGCCACATCGACTGCGCAACATATGATGTACCATGTATATATATACATATATTGAACAACATGGGGTGCACCACCTCGATTGCAACACACATGTTGCAACATATAGTGTCCCACAGCGATTGCACAACACAGATCGCTAGAAATACACTGTTTGGGACCCAAGCTGGCTGGCATTGTTTTGGGACTTGGAAAGCATTCCCATTGTACATTTGTTTCCGATAGTGCATATCGGCCTTTGTGTGTTCGCTCGGTATCTTATTTTTGCTGCGCGGTACTGGACGAATCCTGACGAGGGCTAGGACGAAGCTGCAGATCCCCTTCCGAACCTCGAGAGGAACCATCCACCTCACCACGTGGCGATCGCGTCATAGCCGTCGTGCGCATCTCGCTTTGGTGCCCTCACGACACACGGTGGGTCCTCGTAGAATCCGCTAAAGCTAAGTTCCAAGCCCTCCGACAAGCTCAGGGCCTCCATCCAATCGCTCCGGCGCCGTCCGAAAAGGAGATTCGACCGACAAGCCAGCGTCTTCTGGGCATCAGCCACAACTTCGCACAAGCCCTGGATTCCCAATATCTCCTCTCGTAATCGCTCGCGCTCTGCGCGCAACTCCTCCAGCTGCGGGCCCGCTGCCTGCGCGAGAGCCCACTGTCCAGAGGCCATGCGAAGCAGTGCACACGCCTCGTCCAGGGCACGAAGCGAGACGACGAAGAAAAGGTACACCAAGATCGGCAACACAAGAACAACGCCCACGCAAGTCATCGATCTACTCACATGCACGAGCTCCGCCATCCTACCCACGCGGAAGAAGCCCAGCAGCAGACACACACACTCCAGAAATAAGAAGTAGAACACAGCGAAGATGCCCTTCCCGCGGCCCGTGATCGTGTCAAAGTTCCGACGCCGACGAACGATGTCCTCGTCCCTGGGCAGGTCCTCGACATCCGGATCCCGCCCAAGCTGCTCCCTAAACGCCTTCCGGATCTCGTCCCTTGTTGCTTCGTCGGTGTCAGAGAACTTCTGCACGGCGCGGCCTTCTGGATCGTGGCCCGGTGCTTCCGCCAGGCGAGGAAGAGGATGGGAGAGAAGACGACGGCACCAGGAACCGCGAGGAGCAGAGGCACCACCGACAGCAACGCGAGCATTGCCGAAGGTAGGACGTGGCAGCGTCCTGCCCGGCTGCGGCCCCGAACCTGTGCATCGCGCAGTCCCGCGCACACGAGCGACGCCTGGTAATTGCAGACGTCGCTGGCGAGATCTTCGTTGACTTGCAACGCCTTGGCCAGGGTGATGACCGTGTCCTGCCACGCATCGATTCGCGGCAATCCGTCGGCATCCGAGCCAAACAGTGCCATCCGCGCAGCGACGACACCCGTGCGAAGAGCTGGGTAGTCCCCTTCGAGAATTTTCGACTTTTCGTGATCCGCAATCGTCGTCCTGCTGCCCTGCCTGACATGTGCGGGTATGTCGTAGGCAACCGATGCCAGTCTGCCCCTCAGCTCGCTCATGACATCGGCAACCAAATCAAAATGTTTATTGTTTTACGTGTCCTTTCGGATGGCCGGAGTGATTTCGAATCTGTCGAGACGAGCTGCGTCAACGATGACAGGCTCGCCGTAACGCACCATGGCAGCGGAGCGCCAGAGCGTCCAGTGCGTATACACCACGCCAGCAGGCACGATCCGCACAGAGAAATCGGAGCGGCCCTTCTCGAGCTCCTGGATCACCGCACGCTCGGCGAAGACACCGACTCCAGGCTTGAATGGGTTCAGCTTAACTCGGAATCTGCTGCCGCCTTCGGGCGACAATGCGACACACTGGCCACGGCTCAAAGCGTCCATCATCCTGTCTGCGAGAGACTTGTTAGCCGCAGCCTTGGCGTTGTCGTCGCCCTCGGTCTCCTGCGCGCGAACCACAGGGACAGCACCAATGTGGTTCGCGATGAAGCTCAGGATGGACATCGCCCCTTTCATCTTGAAGAGGAACGCGGCGGCTCCAAATCTGATGTATCGCTTCTCTGTTGCCGAAAGGAGCAGCAACATATCAGCGAGGTCGTTGCTGTGGCCGAACGCGATGGTAGTCGGCACGCCGGGCTCTGGCAAATTCTCTGCGCCGACCGCGTGAACCTGGTCAAAGTACAGCGGCAGCAAGAGACGACAAGCTTTCTTCAACAAACAGTAGACGAAAGGTGCCCCGTCGAGGCCACACGGCATTGCGTGCACTCTTGCCTCGACGGCTAAGCAAATTCACTTGGGCCAGAACTCTTGCGCAAAAAATGTTAAGTATGGAACACACGTTCCCGGAATTCCATTACCGAAAAACGCTTTAGATCGAGAAATGCCCCACCAGCTGGGGACGGAAAAGCACAAATGACGTAGCAGCACTACAACATTGGCAGCAGCAGCGAAAACGACTGAAACAGTAGGTATAGTTGTGGCTATGCCAAACAACATGACTGTTATTATACATCTTGGCGAAGCAATGAGCAGCAGTGGCCATGACCCGCAGCAGGACTAGGAGCAGCCGCAATGGCCGTGGGTGGTAGCACCATGAGTTGTATGTAGGTCATTATACTGGCCGTAGTACCAACGGCAATCACCAAGTCAGATACGGCTTTGCCTGACCTGCCGCGAGCACCAGTGGAGCCAGAGATGAGCACCCCGATTTCCCCCTGGGGCGCCCAGGGCCTGGGAGCCCCAGCGTCTGTGCTTCCGCGGCCTGGCTTCTCGTACACGGCCTAGGGCCCCGCAGACGCCTGGGCTCTCAGGCACGGGCCTCGTACGCGCCTAGCCCCTGGGCTCCCACGGCCCGTCGGCTCCTCGGCGCCGGGGCGTCCCTACGTGGCGCTCCACCTCGCCTGCCCCGGCCGCGCGGCGGGGGCGGTTGCGCCGGGCGCCTGAGCTCGTCCGAGTGGGCCCGGCGCAGCTCGTGCATCGCCTCGGCCCCCCGGCGGCCCTCGTGCGGCCAGGGAGCCAGCTCGGGCCGCCCTGCCCGACATCCACGACGGCCCCCTCCCTCCTCCACCCCCCTTCCCGTTCCCCTTCCCTCCCTCTCCTTACCCCCTCCCCCTCCGCAAGCACCTCGTTGGAATGTACGCGAAGAGCCAGGTAGCAACACGTTGACACGTACCAGGCGACATGCGCACAGCCGCGTTGTCCACGAAGTCAGACATTACTCATTTTTTTTCTGGGCTCTGAGCTGGCCTCCACACAGAGGTCTGCCACCGTGCCTCTGGGCACGGAGTGGGCGTGCCCTCAGGTTGTTCCCCCAATCCTCTACGCCTCTCCTGAGCCTCAGTTCACGATCCTAAAACTTTAAGGGGCCTCAGCCCCAATTTCCGAAATTTCATGGGGCTTGTCGCGTGCCCCCTGGGCTCCAGGAAGTCTTGTCGCATAGGTAACTCTTTCGGGCACACGAGGGCCCCAAGATGAGCTCAGAAGGCCCCACGAGGCTCTTAAGACAGCCCAGGAGGGCCCGGAGTCGCCGACCGATCGGTCCAAGACGCCCAAAATGGCCCTAAAACGGTCCAAGAGGCCTCCAAGACGTCCGAAGAGGCCTCCAAGAGGCCTCCCGAGAGGGCCTTACGAGGCAAACGTGATTGATGTCCCTTTGGTTTTTGAAGGATGTTGTCGTTCTCGCCTTTTCAGCTTCCCGATCCTCTAAGACGGCCCCAGAGGCCCCCAAGATGGCCCCCGGAGAGGCCCTAAAAGGCCCCCAAGAGGCCCCCAAAAGGCTCCCAAGAGGCCACCAAACTGCTTCCAAGAGCGTTCCGAAGAGATCCGAAGAAGCATCCCTGAGAACTCTAAACCACAACCCAGGCACGGTGGTGGGATGGGCCGAAAGCTATTCGACCTGCTTGGCATGGGGACGTAAAGTGCATTTATTTTGTGAGGGCGCGAGGTCGCTGGCTTAGTGTCTTGGAGCCCTGTTGGTGTTCAGGCCTCGGGACGACATACCAAAATCTAGCAACCAACCTTGCGAAAATCAATTAATATTACAATTCCAGGCCTTCCTGGGGGTCCTTTTGGGGCTCCTTTGGGCCGTCTTGGAGCCCTTTTGGGCCGTCCCGGGACCCTCTTGGGCCGTCTTGGCGGGCTTGGGCCGTATTCGAGCCCTCTGGGAGCCCTCCTGGGTCCCCTTGGGGACCTCCCTTGGCCCTCTTGGGGCTCTCTTGGGGACCTTTTGGGACCCCCAGGCGCCTCTCTTGGGCCGTTGTGGGGCTTTCTTTGGCCATCTTGACGCCCACTTGGGCCGTCCTGGGGGCCTCTAGGGCCGTCTTGGGGCGGTTTTGGGGGCCTCCTCGGCCTTTGTGAACGCTGTGAAGAGAAAAGAAGCGGATATGCAAAACATGTATTTCCCTAGGAGATAAGCCGATGTTTGCCTCGTGGAGGTTCCCTTCGGGTGCCTCTTGGGGCGTCTTGGGGGCCTCGTGGGCTGTCTTGAAGTCAAAAGTCAAATTGGGCCCTCTTGGAGCGCTCTTGAGCCATCTTCGGGCCCTCTTGGACCTTTCCGACGCCGCCTTGGAAATATCTAGGGCGTTTTTGGGCTGTTTTGGGCTGTCTTGGGGCCTCTTTGGCGCTCTTGGAGCTGATTTGGGCCGTCTTGGGCCGAAAATTGCCGAAACTTGAGGGCAGTAGATCTGAGACCCCGGCTGCCTAACCCCCCCCTTTTTCCTTGATATTTCTCCCGGCTCACGGATTGCGACGCTACGCGCGCTTTCCGTCATCCGCCGCCTCTTGTGGTCTTGCCGCAGGGGTGCCCGCGTGCTAAACACTTATATGCTCGGCTTGGCGTTGGTTATTTTCCAAAGAAATCTCCCCTCAGGTTTCGGCCCGTCCCGCCGGCCACGCCGAGGAGGTGGCTGCAAAACAAAAGTCGGCCGTTTCGCGCGAGACTTCCTAACCAAATCGCGATCCTGGGGATCCTAATTCAAGATGCATCATGATAAACATAAGCGTATCGCACGAGACATCTCCATCGTCGGATATTCCGAAATGGCAATCTCGCTGCAAACATCTCCAACACATGAAATGCTTTACCTCCGCCTCCGCCTCCGCCTCCGCCTCCGGCAAGTACGCCACGAACGACGGCAGGACCCTCGGACGCGAACATCCACCCAGGCACATACACGTAGAAGCCTGAACAGCCCGAGCCCCGAAACACAAACTCAGTCCTACCACCGCCACAACCGAACTGCACACTCTAGTATGTGTGCGTGTCATCTATGCACGAGGGCCACAAACTAATATTATTTGACACGCGGGAACAAATCAAAAAGAACTTCGTGCGGTTGTGGGGCAGGGAAAGGGAATGGAACATAATCGGGCCCTCGCACACCCACACGCCACACCATCTCCACAAAGCCCCAGCTGCAAGGGCGTGGGGGCGGTCTTGACCTGCCCCACGAGGAGACAGGCCTGCTCGGCGGAACTGAACCGCCAGACGCCCCCGCGAACGAACTCCCGAGGATCGCCGCCAGCTCGATCAAAACAGCCACCAGGAGACACACAACCAAATGGAACACATCTACCATGAGAGGGAAGGCATCAAGGACAATTGCAAAAAAACAAGCCTTCCCAAAAAAATGACCTTGCATTCAAAAATGTTTGACTCCCCTCCGCGAACTCACCCATCACGTGCGGCATAACTTTGCAACGCTACCTGAATACCCGAAACCAAAACAAAGTGGCGCCAAGGAGGCGGCCGCACCAGCGGTGACGCAATGCGTCTGCTTAGTACATTTAGACAAACCGATCTCTCTGGTGCCATCCGAGCACACAACAATGAAGCCCAGAAGCGCCTTAAGGCGTCGCAAGGTGGCTCACAAACCTATTACGACGCCTATTTCTGCAAGACCCCCTCAAGGAGCACGATTCCGTGTAGACACACACGCGCACCGACACGCACACCGAGTTCTACCCCAGGGAAGCGTAGGGCCTTCTGTGGAAACATTGCTACGGCACGCGCCACATGACGCTCAAACGCCGACGCGCGCTGGCCAAACGAATTGCCGGTCTGCACCCCAGGATCCGCCGCTGGCACCGAGGCTCCAGCCAGAGCCTAAGCCCCCACGGAGGAAAGAGCCGAAACCCCAACTGCCTCCGCGGCGTGATCCCGGGGAGGGTGTGCACTCCCGCCCCCAAGCAGTCCTTATGGCACGGAGGGCCGACCCGAGCACAATCAAGAGGACACAAACAGAGGAGCATCTACCATGCCCCTCAAGGTCAGCACAGAAAGGGGCACCCCGAATGGGGTATAGGTTAGCCGCGTCCATTGTCCTCATCCCCTCAAGCTAAGTAAACGCACCTCCGAGAGACACAAAACCCTGGCGGGGGAGTGAACCGCGGCGAGAACTGTGAACCCCATGGGAGGAAGAGGAACGGTGGGGGAAGGAAAGGACGGAGAGGAGGAAAAGGGATTTTTGGATTGCCTGCTCGTTGAGGCAACTAGCCTGTCGAGTTACGGTGGTGCTGCGGCTAGCGATGCAACTGAAATAGCGGGATCGCACGGGTACCTATGGATTGCAGTGTACAGTACCAGTACACCATGCCCATATCCTATCCCAACCACCAATCCGACCCATATCAGACGAGACGCGCCGCGGTCTGAGACCCGCGGGAGCGAATCATCAGCTGACAGCCGCGGGGCTCAACCCGTGCGGCAGGGCGAAGGGCGCGCAGGCCCGCTCGGCAGCAACTGAAAATCGCGGTCTGCGCTAGGACGAGCAAGGCGGCAGGCTGCACAAAGGAAGGCGGCGGTCCTGCAGGCTTTGCGTCGCTGGATCCCTGCCCAAGAGAGGAACCCTTTCCAATCGCAAAGCGATGAGCTGCCAAAATGGCGCTGTCGTGTGCGCGAGAGAGTGTGCACGATGAAGTGACCAATCCCGCCCAGCTACTCCTCCCAACTTAAATCCCCCTGCAAGCCGCCCCTTCAAGAGAGGCAGGCAGCTTGCAACGAGAGAGAGAGGGCAGGCTCGCTGGCAGGCTGGCGAGCCAGCCACTGTTCCTCGCGGGCGGGGGGGGGGGGCGGTGCGGCGCCGCCCCCCGCCGGCCAGCCTTGGAGAGGCCGCGCCAGCAGGGGGGGGGGCGCACTCGGTCGACAGGGGGAGGGCTGCAGTCGCCCCGCACACAAGTGTGCGGGGGTCCATGCCCCGCAGGCCCTGGCTGCTTGCTTGCCAGGGCCACCTGGGCCTGACCCACGCCCAGGCACGTCG